CGTGTCGGGTGGTGGTGGGTTACGACACATTTATAAATAACGCGATCTAACCCAAAAACCTTTATTATGAATAATATTGGTCGCGAAAGCCTACGTGTTAAACAAGAGGAGGTGCTACAATATCTCCCCATATGTTTAAACAGTGATGCTGTATGCCTGGCTTGTCATTCCTCCTGCAAGATATAGTATTGTGATGGTTGTCTATTCAAAAATAGTATGTCTTCTTTGAAGTTTACCTATACTGAGGTGAGACATCTTCAAATTTAGCGTGTTTGTTCATTGTGAAAAGGAGTGCCCATTATGTCTGGAGGCATCTGCTATTTATAACTCTATGTGATTACTTCATACCTGGTGGGTTCACCTTTAGGTAACCTGAGTTTGTTTCAACGAGGGAGTAACCGTTAGGCTTGGTGTTGGGACCAGGATAAGTCAAAGAGCTGCTTCGTGAGCTTCAGAAATACGACCAAGCATAACCTGTAGGGGCACGGCTGATCACTTTTTCCCCGAGGGTCATACCCAACTGAGCCTCTATGGGGGGTTCGTTTTACCGCTTATAGATAAGAAAAAATGGGGAAAATCCCGTAGAGGTGTGTGGGGCTATCCTGTATGCTGCCAAGACTCCCGGAACGTGCAAGTCCCAATCTGTCTGCGCCTCATTAACTGCCTGACAGACCATCGATGTCAAGGTTCTGTGCAGGCTTTCACCATACCATCTGTTTGAGGATGGTATGACGACATTCTAATATTTTTCGTACACTTTGCGCAGCAGCTTGGACGAGAAATTCCAACCCTGATCTGTGAAAAGCTCCTTGGGAGCTCCCTTGTCCATCACGTAGCCGTGCAAAAATGCATCGGCAATGGATGCAGCCGTTTGGTCGGGCTATGGACAAGACAGTGGCCACTGGGAAAAATATTCTACCCCAAGCAGGAGAAATGTATTCCTCTTTGTGTACTCGAAAAAGGTCCCAGGATGTCAAGCGCAACCAATTTGTTCATACGGTACACTGTGATGTACTGCAATGGGGGTTGAGACTTTTTCGATGGTGGCTTTCGGCATGCACAATCAGTGTAACCTTTGACCAGATGGTATACATCATTTGACATTCCCGGCCAATAAAAGTATCATTGCAGGGTTAGCAATGTTTTTCAATGCCCGAAGTGCATACATTTATATTCGTGTACTACCCACGTTAACCTACCCTGCAGGGAGGTGGGGACCACTATACACCGATGTTGTGAAACCTCATCCCATCTCATCAACAGTCCTTCCTGAAGGGTTTTTGTGGTTTGTTTCAGCGCGGCGCCGCAAGTTCAACAAGGAAACATCCTCCATCTGTAGCTGGCCCCATTCGGCATGCGTGAGGCCCAAGTGTTCTCCCTGTGTGTGACCACCCCGGCTGATGCCGGGTCACTCAATTCTGCTACAACCCCTAGTGACCCAGCCGCTGGTGGTTTACACCAGCCCGCGCCCGACGAGCATGCGCAACGTTCGTTTAGAGGTAAGCGGGATAATCCATCTGCATTACAGTGCATTACTCGTGGAGTCCCTCCAGCCAGCGTGAAAGCTGGCCAGAAGGCTGGTCAACTCTCAGAGAGTACTGGTGGGCCGCATGGGCCGTGCAGACGATGAAGTCCTTGCCATAAAAATAAGGCCTGTACTGCTGAATAAAGTACACCATGGCCAAAAGTTCCCTGCGGGTAACAGTACCACTGCTCAGCGGTTGACAGGACGTGACTTTCATATGCAATTACCCTTTCCACCCTGTTCTTCACCTGTGAGAGGACAGCTCCGATGCCCAGGTCACTAGCATCAATATCCAATATGGACGGCAGGGAAAAATCCGGATAATCAAGGGGAGGCGCGTTGGAAAGGCGATCTCGCAGTGCAACAAACGTGTCCTCCTCCTGGCCCCATTTTAACTTTTGGTTTTTAGCCATCAGGCCATGCAAGGGTTTTGCAACCATCGCGAACTACGGAACGAACCTTCGGTAATATGAAGGAAACCCAACGAAACTGTGCACGTCACCCACCGACATGGGGGTTGGCCAATCGCGTACGCATGCTGTTTTGTCCGCGTCTATAGCGATCCCTTTTGCACTGACAATGTGGCCCAAATATCGCACAAAGGTTTGTAGCAAATGGCATTTAGCAGGTTTCAATTTGAGATTAGCCGACCGTACCTTAGAGAACACAGCCCGCAACTTTTGCAATGCTCCTCAAATGTGCGACCAAACACGATTATGTCATCTAAGTAAATGAGGCAGGAGTCCCATTACAGTCCCGCCAGGACCAATTCCAAAAGCCTCTGGAAAGTAGCAGGTGCTGAATGCAATCCCATCGGGAGACAATTCAATTGGTACAGTCCCTGAGGCGTTTGGAACCCAGTTTTTGGTCTAGATGACTCATCCAGGGGTAGTTGACAAAAGCCCAACAATAGGTCCAATGTGAAGAAGAACCGAGCGCCCAACAATGCGTCCAGGGAATCATCTATACGTGGAAGCGGATAAACGTCTGCCACTGAAACTTTAATTTATGAAAGTTGATACAAAACCTTAAGCTTCCATCATATTTTTTGACCAACACCACAGGGGCTCCCCAAGGGCTGGTTGATGGTGAAATTATATCAGCCGCCAATATTTCCTCCACCGCCTGCTGCACATGTTCCTTTTCTACAGAACTGAACCGATATGAGCTTTGTCGAATAGGAGCTGCGTCGCCCATATCGATATGGTGTTGCAACAAGGTGCAGTGAGGGAAAAAAGTATTTGATCCCTTGCTAATTTTGTACGTTTGTCCACTGACAAAGAAATGATCAGTCTATAATTTTAATGGTAAGTTTATTTGAACAGTGATAGACAGAATAACAACATCCAGAAAAACGCATGTCAAAAATGTTATGAATTTATTTGCATTTTAATGAGGGAAATAAGTATCTGACGCCCTCTCAATCAGAAAGATTTCTGGCTCCCAGGTGTCTTTATACAGGTATCGAGCTGTGATTAGGAGCACATTATTAAAGGGAGTGCTCCTAATCTCAGCTTGTTAGCTGCATAAAAGACACCTCTCCACAGAAGCAATCAATCAATCAGATTCCAAACTCTCCACCATGGCCAAGACCAAAAAGCTCTCCAAGGATGTCAGTGACAAGATTGTAAACCTACACAAGGCTGGAATGGGCTACAAGACCATTGCCAAGCAGCTTGGTGAGAAGGTGACAACAATTTGGTGCGATTATAAGCAAAATGAAAGAAACACAAAAGAACTGTCAATCTCTCTCGGCCTGGGGCTCCATGCAAGAGCTCACCTCGTGGAGTTGCAATGATCATGAGAACGGTGAGGAATCAGCACAGAACTACACGGGGGGATCTTGTCAATCATCTCAAGGCAGCTGGGACCATAGTCACTAAGAAAACAATTGGTAACACACTATGCCTTGAAGGACTGAAATCCTGCAGCACCCGCAAGCACATATACATGCCCGTCTGACGTTTGCCAATGAACATCTGAATGATTCAGAGGAAAACTGGGTGAAAGTGCTGTGGTCACATGAGACCAAAATGGAGCTCTTTGGCATCAACTCAACTCGCCGTGTTTGGAGGAGGAATGCTGCCTATGACCCCAAGAACACCATACCCACCGTCAAACATGGAGGTGGAAATATTATGCTTTGGGGGCGTTTTTCTGCTAAGGGGACAGGACAACTTCACCGCATCAAAGGGACGATGGACGGGGCCATGTACCGTCAAATCTTGGGTGAGAACCTCCTTCCCTCAGCCAGGGCATTGAAAATGGGTCGTGGATGGGTATTCCAGCATGACAATGACCCAAAATACACGGCCAAGGCAACAAAAGAGTGGCTCAAGAAGAAGCACATTTAGCTCCTGGAGTGGCCTAGCCAGTCTCCAGACCTTAATCCCATATAAAATTTGTGGAGGGAGCTGAAGGTTCGAGTTGTCAAACGTCAGCCTCGAAATCTTAATGACTTGGAGATCTGCAAAGAGGAGTGGGACAAAATCCCTGCTGAGATGTGTGCAAACCTGGTGGCCAACTACAAGAAACGTCTGACCTCTGATTGCCAACAAGGGTTTTGCCACCAAGTACAAAGTCATGTTTTGCAGAGGGCCCAAACGCATCAGGCCACAGAGAGTCGGTGAAAGTCGGCAACGTGAACTAATGGTTGTAATCGCGAAAAAGAAAAAATAAAGAGTGTAGATTGGATAGACGAAGAACTTGATCTGAATGGAATATCCATTCCACAGGATGAAGAGATCCATGCTCTCCCTATTTATTCCTTGAAGGAGCATTTTGCTTCTCCATGGGAGAATGGAGAAGCGTACATTTTGTAAATTTGTTTAATGATTGTTATGAAACATTTTAAATTTAATGATTCTACCAGGGCTTTTCATTCTGTGGAATGTGATTTTTATAATTATACTCCCCATTTAGCTTCGTTCTACGACAAAGTTTCAAGTATTTTTCATAGTTATAATTACTTTTAATATTTGATAATTATAAGAGAATTCCAATGTAATATTCTGAACATCTGCAGTTTTAGTTAGACGATTAATATATTCAAGTGAATTTTATGCAAAATTTCAGCTTTCTAACGCCTCCTTTTAAATACATGTTTTCTCCTACAACATCAGAGTGCACTACAATGACAATAGTTTAAAGTGATTTGAAGCATGTTTATTTTCAAAATGGTAATATGGTGTTTTGGGGGGGTGGGGGGCAAACCTTTGTGACGCCATATTTGAGGGGGGTCTGACTTTTCGTGACGCCGTGTGATGAGGGGGGATCAAAAATAGGACAAAATCGCGTGACTTCATTTATGGACGGCCCCTCAGCACATACATCATTGATTTAAAAAAATCTTGACTTAAAGCTTTCGTGACTGCATGAATTCAAAGTGTCTTTCGGTAAAGCCACGTAGATAGAAAAATAATGAAAATATCACGACGTTTCGATCGCAACACAAGCAATCATCAGGTGAAAAAAATATAGCGGGAGAGCTGCTGAAGCAGGAAAACGATTGCTTCTGTTGTGATCGAAACGTCGTGATATTTTTTTTATATTTTTCTATCTACGTGGCTTTACCGAAAGACCCAAATAATATCATTGATATAATATATCAATTTAAACAATTAAATGATAAAACGTTAATGTAAAATATGTGAAAGACTATCCATGATATATACGGTATTGAATGTTAAACAGTAATCTACATTTTTGTAAAAAAAATAACACGATGAAGATTGTGGCACAATGGATACATTTTCCATATTGTACACACATAAATGTAATCCTCCCATAAAAACATAACGTGAGATACGATGTAAAGCTCTTTGAGTTGCAGAGGCATTTAAGCACCATATAAATTCAAACATTATACTGTTATGATTGTAACTTTGCAACCAATGCAAGGCATGAGACAAAATCATATTGACTTGAACTTATATACCAAGATCACATCCAATGACTTCTTCAATGCATGTTTGTCATAGGAATTAAAAGTGTACTTTGTCATAAAATGTAAATGTTCATGAATTATAATCTCAATGCAACATCTGAATTCTTCCAGAAGACGTCGGGAAGGCAACTGGCTTCTCTGAAACACATCAAAGGTGGCTGCGTTGGAATCTCTCACGCAGCACATTTGAAAAAAAACATACATTTTATAAACATATTAGCATTTACTTTATAAACTCAAGTCCTTGGACTTACATTTATTCGTAACAATGAAAAGGTGTTTAGTAATTCATTAATAAAACAATAATGCGAATGAATGAGACCGAGGATAAGAAAAGTCACAAGCAAGGAGAGTTGCCCTCTGATCATGTCAATTATTCCTGGGCTATGTTATCTGAACTGTGGTGGTTTGGGTTCCGCACCGCATCACCAGAACGACCCACAAGTGTATCAACTTGTTACTAACACATGAGTGTTCGTATTGGGCGTATCCCAAGATGACTATCTTGTAATACTAATTTTAATTCTTGGAATAAGACTCTTAAAGGGATTGTGGGATCTTTGTAGACGTAGAATCGCCAGGATCTTTTATGAGGATTTTCTAAAGCTTGCTTTCTCATACTGAGGGAAAAAAGTATTTGATCCCCTGCTGATTTTGTACGTTTGCCCACTGACAAAGAAATGATCAGTCTAAAATTTTAATGGTAGGTTTATTTGAACAGTGAAAGACAGAATAACAACAACAAAATCCAGAAAAAACGCATGTCAAAAATGTTATACATTGATTGGCATTTTAATGAGGGAAATAAGTATTTGACCCTTCTGCAAAACATGACTTAGCACTTGGTGGCAAAACCCTTGTTGGCAATCACAGAGGTCAGACGTTTCTTGTAGTTGGCCACCAGGTTTGCACACATCTGAGGGATTTTGTCCCACTCCTCTTTGCAGATCTTCTCCAAGTCATTAAGGTTTCGAGGCTGACGTTTGGCAACTCAAACCTTCAGCTCCCTCTACAGATTTTCTATGGAATTAAGGACTGGAGACTGGCTAGGCCACTCCAGGACCTTAAAGTGCTTCTTCTTGGGCCACTCCTTTGTTGCCTTGGCCATGTGTTTTGGGTCATTGTCATGCTGGAATACCCATCCACGACCCATTTTCAATGCCCTGGCTGAGGGAAGGAGGTTCTCACCCAAGATTTGACGGTACATGGCCCTGTCCATCGTCCCTTTGATGCGGTGAAGTTGTCCTGTCCCCTTAGCAGAAAAACACCCCCAAAGCATAATGTTTCCACCTCCATGTTTGACGGTGGGGATGGTGTTCTTGGGGTCATAGGCAACATTCCTCCTCCTCCAAACACGGCGAGTTGATGCCAAAGAGCTCCATTTTGGTCTCCTCTGACCACAACAATTTCACCCAGTTGTCCTCTGAATCATTCAGATGTTCATTGGCAAACTTCAGACGGCCATGTATATGTGCTTTCTTGAGCAGGGGGACCTTGAGGGCGCTGCAGGATTTCCGTCCTTCATGGCGTAGTGTGTTACCAATTGTTTTCTTGGTGACTATGGTCCCAGCTGCCTTGAAATCATTGACAAGATCCTCACGTGTAGTTCTGAGCTGATTTCTCACTGTTCTCATGATCATTGCAACTCCACGAGGTGAGATCTTGCATGGAGCCCCAGACCGAGGAAGATTGACAGTTCTTTTGTGTTTCTTTCATTTGCGAATAATCGCACCAACTGTTGTCACCTTCTCATCAAGCTGCTTGGCAATGGTCTTGTAGCCTATTCCAGCCTTGTGTAGGTCTACAATCTTGTCCCTGACATCCTTGGAGAGCTCTTTGGTCTTGGCCATGGTGGAGAGTTTGGAATCTGATTGATTGCTTCTGTGGAGAGGTGTCTTTTATACAGGTAACAAGCTGAGATTAGGAGCACTCCCTTTAAGAGTGTGCTCCTAATCTCAGCTCGTTACCTGTATAAAAGACACCTGGGAGCCAGAAATCTGAATGAAAGGGGGTCAAATACTTATTTCTTTCATTAAAATGCAAATCAATTCATAACATTTTTGACATGCGTTTTTCTGGATTTTCTTGTTGTTATTCTGTCTCTCACTGTTCAAATAAACCTACCATTAAAATTATAGACTGATCATTTCTTTGTCAGTGGGGAAACGTACAAAATCAGCAGGGGATCAAATATTTTTTTTCCTCACTGTATGTGATGTGGAATCGCCATTAAAATCCAATCGACTTCAATTTAATCTCCATTAATATTAATGGGGAGTCTCTGGACGGACAATGGAGATTCTGGAATATCCACCTAACCTGTAAGTTGTGGCAAAGTCGACTTATTATCTGCGCTTGTCCATAGGTTTGACCGCAAATGTACGTCATTCATCCTATTGTCTGGTTTCATGTGTGGATACCATGGAAGTATCAGCCAATTAAACCTATTACTTAATTACACTCTCTCATGTGTGGATAGGAGAACAAATAATAGGATAATAGGATAATCCTCCCAATATTAGCAGAAATCAGAGGGGTGTCACTATTATACTTTAGAAACTGTGGGAAACTGCCCCAATTGCTCTGTCGCTGGAAAGACAGTGAGTCATGCCCTTGTGATGATACACAAAGTGGGCAATGTCACCCATTTTTTACGTGCAACGACTGCTCTGTATTTGAGGTGGACAGATAAGTGTGATTCCCCACAAACCAAACACCAATGGTAAAGTAATGGGGGCTGTGCTCCAGTGTGGGATTTCGTTTCTGGCCACAACAACAGTTGAGAAGTTAATGCCAAACGGTCATCTGATTTATCTGTACACTTGAAATCCTTGGGTAACAATAAATTGTGAGTTTCAAGACTGCCGTGAATAAAATAAAAAGGTTTAATGGTCAAAAATAATGTATGATCGGACTTTCACTTTTCACACTGCTAAATGCATTTAACGCTGCCTATGATAATGAAATTTATATTTTACAATACTTTGGTAATGGCTTTAATCTGTGGTCAGCTTAATATAGATATCTATTGTGAACTATTGAACCTTATTAAAATGATGAGAGAAAAATGGCGAAACATGATGAAAAAATGTGCATTCCAGATCAACAGGGTGTGCCGAGTAAAAGATGAAGATACGTCATCTAAGATGTGAAGATATATCTGGTGCATAATAGTGTGGCCTTACTCAGGAGCAGAGGGAAGACTTTCTCAGTGCTGCTCACCACCACCTCCAGTTGTGTGTGTGAAGCTTCGTCTATTGCAGTCACCGTCAGCACCACATTGGCTACTGTTGCAGAAAACGTAATTTTGTTGCCCAGGTAAGCCAAGCCAGTCACCACACCCTCCGAAACGTTTTCGGGAATATTCGGGTTGAATTTTAAACCTTCCTTTGTTATCCTAGACAGCAAAATAAAATGAGAGTATTTAAAAGTCAAAATTATATAATTTCTCACGAGTTTGATGTTGCTGATAATTGAGAAATGGAGTAAAATGAGATGTTCATTCTGGTCTAAAATCACTACTTAATATGTAAATATAAACTTATGTTAAATGCTACCACTGCAGTTTTAAATATGCATATCACTGAGCCTTGAATATGTTTTACAATTTCCATGAGTCAAAATGTAACTTTCATTACAATCGACATTCATCTTCCACCCGCATCTGCTGCGATTAATAGACTTTTTGTGATTCACCATGAATGTCACTCATAAGAAATGCACTCGATTAAATCACGTGCGATGAAGGTCCACTGCATATCCTTTAAAGGCAGTGGTTTGTGACGAAGTGTTAAGAAAAGCTGTCTCGGGTGTGGACCAATCAATTTCAAGGACAGTGCATTATCAGAGTTGTCTCTTTTTGTTTGCATTTTGACTGCTTGTGTTGCGGTTATTGCAAACATAATCCCTTGTATAAAGGTGTCAGTTTTTGTGCCAGATAAAAGGGTAAAAACCTATTACTATATCGTGCTACTGGCAAAGGGGGTCTCAGTGTAAATGCTTACCCCGAGCTCTCAATACTCTGATAGTCCGCTGTTTTTGAGTTGTACGCCTTTTGGCGTCTTCTGGTCCAACACCAGTGGAGACTAGGCTCTAAGAAAAGCTGTCTCGGGTGTGGACCAATCAATTCAAGGACAGTGCATTATCAGAGTTGTCTCTTTTTGTTTGCATTTTGACTGCTTGTTTTGTGGTTATTGCAAACATGATCCCTTGTATAAAGGTGTCAGTTTTTGTGCCAGATAAAAGGGTAAAAACCTATTACTACTACTGTTATGTGATTTGTGCTTTTGCACCACTGCCAATGCAGTAGCGCTGAATTTTTTGTTAATGTACTAGGTTAGGGTGTAAGGGTGTTACTTGGGCATGCATTAATAGCCAATTAAGGTCTGGGTTCGTGAACACAAAGCGGATTTGAAACACGGCAGAACCAACTCCACGGCGGTGGCGGATCATTGTTTCAATGCTGTGGGCACACATGACATTGTTTTCTCTGAGACCAAGGTGCTCTGCAAACCCTCAGGCCACCTTCAGAGATTTGTTCATGAAGCCATCCAGATATACAAACACAGATAAAACTTTAATCGAGAAGATGGTTTCAGATTGAGCAATCATTGGAAGGATGTGATAAACCACGTCAAATTTTAACTGCTATGATTTTCACTCACCCACCCGGTTATCGTCCTCACCCACCCGGTTGTCATTGTCCTCGCTCACGCACCCGCTTGTCGTCCTCCTCTCTCACCCACCCGGTTGTCGTCATCCTCACTCACCCACCCGGTTGTCATTGTCCTCGCTCACCCACCCGGGTGTCATTGTCCTCACTCACCCACCCGCTTGTCGTCTTCCTCTCTCACCCACCCGGTTGTCATCATCCTCACTCACCCACCCGGTTGTCGTCATCCTCACTCACCCACCCGGTTGTCGTCCTCCTCTCTCACCCACCCGGGTGTCGTCATCCTCACTCACCCACCCGGGTGTCGTCGTCTGATTACGACTTGTACTACAAGTCCATTTACTTGCTAATTTCTCTACCCCCACCTGTCCATGCATGCCACAAACCCTCCCCCTACAGCCAAACTCCTTCCACCCCCCTTCCCTCTCCCCTCTCGTGCCTATATAAAGCCACAACAGTAGATAATTTTTTCACACTTGAAGACGGACGCTTGTGTTGCGACCGAAACGTCGTGGTTTATTTTTTTTTTCTATCTACGTGACTTTACCGAAAGAACCAGAGAGAAAGGTAGAAGTGTTATCCTTCCTACTTGCATTGTAAACTCCCTGTCCAACAGCCCTGCAACTTGCTCTACCCCCTCTTTGGCCCACAACCCTCCATCACCTAGGTGACCGGTTTCCTATAAAAAAAAATACTTCGATCTAAAATAATCCATATTGCCATTGCTAGTAATCATGATTTGCACGTGACCGTCAGTTTAACCTGTATTTAATAAATGACCATATATTTTATAAACAATACTACAGTTACTATTCATTTGTCAAATATTATTTATAAACTCAAAAAATGTAAATTATTACACCTACAAATTGTTATTTGCAAGCCTATGTAGACATGAGATTTTCTTCCCTTGTTTGGTGAGTTTGTGCACATGGATGTCCCTTGCTTGATGCGACTCATACGTGCAACACGGGGCACATCTCCACAGGAAGCGCGAGAGCTTGAATCACATCTGCCAGAGAAGTGTGTAACGTGCATGACATGTACCTTATTCCAAAGTATCCAAAGAGGTTTGCCTGCAAGAATCCTCCCATTCCTGTGAGGAAATTCACAGCTCCAGAGCCATCCGGGTTTTCACTCCACACCTACACTTTCCAAAGAGAAATCCCATGAACGTTAAAGAAGGCGTTAAACCAATGCCCACACTGAATCATAATCGTCAGCATTATCAATCCACGTCTGAATGAAGACCTTCCCTCATTGTTTCCATTCGTCATGCTTCTGTGATGCCACAAATCTATCTGGCTCCTGCACAAAAGCCGATCTTCATTGCTCTATCTTCATGTCCTCTCATGCAATACCAAGTATACACCTCTGCACGCTTCCTTCTGTACGCCTCTGCTTTCATTCTACATGCTTTCTCAAGGATCCATGTTAATGATCCGTATATTATAGAAAGTAATATACAACACGGCAGAACCCATATCTCTGCCGTGGCTAATCATTGTTATAACGCAGTGGGCTCGCACTATATTGTTTTTTTCTGAGACCAAGATACTCTGCAAACCTTCGGACTACCATGAAAGATTTGTCCATGAAGCCATCCAGATATATAAACACAGAGACAATTTGAACCGAGAAGATGGGTATAAGCTGAGCAATCATTGGAAGGACGTTATTAACCAAGTAAAATCGTAACTTGCTGTGGTGCTTCCATCCTTCCTGCCATTTGGCTGTTATCTCCGACTCTCTGAGTTGCATTGCCCTGTTAGGTGCCTCTGCATTAACGGGCTGGGGTCTAACATGGCCACCTCTCCTCCCTTAGCCTCGAGGTATCGATGGTTCTGGCTGTGTGATGGGCTGTGTGTCTCACTGGCGCGAAAACCGTTGCGGTGGTTCTCTTGCGTGGGCGCGCTTGCCTCTCACAGCACAGTTGGCAGCGCCGCAGCAGCTTGTGTTACACATAGACATGACATTAACTTGCTAATCCCCCTAATCGCTCTGCCTAATCTCTCCCATCAACATAGTGCTAATCTCCCATTAACACTGCTGTTGTGCGCATATGCGGGGACGATACTCTTATGCGGCAACGGAAGCTCATTTCATGCTAATCTCTCTCCCTAATCTCTCTCTCCCTAAGCTCCCCCATTAACACAACTGACGTGCTTTCGTCCGGGGCTGGAATTCCTTTCCAGCTCAGACCCCGCCTGCTTGCCCTTCGCCACATATTTAACCTCTTCTTGTAACAGCTCTCTCGCTGGTTCAGCAGTTCCACTACTGGATAATTTTTTATACCTGAGGACGACCGCTTGTGTTGCGATCGAAACGTCGTGATATATTATTTATTTTCTTTTATTTTTCTATGTGACTTTACCGAAAGAACCAAAGAGTAATATACAATGACTAAACACTTACTTGTTTTATGCACATTGCTATGTTGCTGTTCATGACTAAGTTCAGTTAAAAAAAATAACTCCATTCTGTTCTCATCGACCTCTTTATTTCAACATTGTTAACCTGGTCCACCTTCAACTACTGTCCTTGGCATGCATGTGCATGTACAGCGAGTGAAAAAAGTATTTGATCCCCTGCTGATTTTGTACGTTTGCCCACTGACAAAGAAAAAAATCCAGAATAACGCGTGTCAAAAATGTTATAAATTGATTTGCATTTTAATGAGGGAAATAAGTATTTGACCCCCTCTCAATCAGAAAGATTTCTGGCTCCCAGGTGTCTTTTATACAGGTAACGAGCTGAGATTAGGAGCACACTCTTATAGGGAGTGCTCCTAATCTCAGCTTGTTAACCTGTGTTGAGGAGTAGAGGGGTGATGGAATGTCACACTCGCCTCGGGAGGAGTGACGTCATGTCCCCTCGGGGTATTTGAGGGAGGACCGGTGACGTGTTCGGGGTTTTCGCGAGGAGCCGGGGTCGTGAGTGGTAGGGAAGTGGGGACCCAGGGTAGGGGGGCTACTTGACCCGGCTGGCCGAGTTGGTCAGCGCTGTGGGGAGAGCCCGTTAGCCTGGGGGGGCGTAGGGGTTGCCAGTACCTTTCCCCTGGGGAGATTTAGCTTAACCACCAAGCCCTGTGTTAGCCCTTCCTCAAAAGCTAGGCGACAGCCCTTAATAAACTGTTGGCGTCAGCCCTGACAACGTCTGCCTTCCGTGTCGTCATTTACACCGTAACAACTGGTGTCAGAAGTGGCTTCCGTGCTCGCGACCATGTCCAAATCTGGCGTGAGACGGAAGACCGCGCCTGGTGTACCGGCGCACAAAGAGGAAGACGGTGACGTGGCCCTGGCGAAGATCCCGGAGGTCGGGGCCCCGGATACGTGCCCCGTGGAGGTGGCCCGGCTGGAGCCGAGGGAGGTGGCGGCTGGGGGAGCTGCGGGGCCCGCGCCGATCGCTGTCCCTGTTGGTGCTGTGTTGGCGCATGCCACCCCAGGCCCTCCTCCCGGCATCCTTGAGCCACCGGGAGGGGTGGTGGCGGGAGTACTGCCCATGGGGGGGGCCGACGCATCATGCGATGTGCATTGAGAACGCCTCGTTGTCCTCCCAGGAGCGCCAGCGGCTCCGCAATCTCATCGTCAGATTGGCCGATGTGTTCAGCCAGAGCAAATTCGATTTGGGCCGTACCACTCTCCTGGAACATATCGACACGGGCGACTCGGCCCCTATTCGACTGAATTCACACCGTTTTAGCCCAGCGGAAAAGGATAATGTCCGCTCCGCAGTTAATGACATGTTGGCGGCAGACATTATCTCTCCTTCCACTAGCCCTTGGGGAGCCACCATCGTGCTAGTCAAGAAACGAGACGGGAGTCTCCGCTTCTGCGTCGACTTCCGTAAATTAAACAAGATTTCAGTGGCCGATGCATATCCCTTGGCTCGCATGGACGATTCCCTCGACGCCCTCTCGGGTGCGCGGTTCCTTTCGACCCTCGATTTGCTTTCGGGCTTTTGGCAGTTACCATTGGATGAGGCCTCCAGGACAAAGACCGTGTTCCACACACCCCAGGGGCTGTTCCAATTCAATCGGCTCCCTATTGGTGTTCATTCGGCCCCGGCCACCTTTCAGCACCTCATGGAATTGGTCTTGGCAGGGCTGCAGTGGGAGTCTTGTTTGATTTACTTGGACGACGTTATCGTTTTTGGACGTATGTTTGACGAACACTTGCAGCGGTTGGAGGCGGTGTTCGCCAAAGTGTGCACTGCGGGCTTAAAATTCAAACCTCAGAAGTGCCACCTGCTGCAACCATCGGTGAAGTATTTGGGCCACATTGTTAGCGCGTCAGGTGTGGCCACGGATCCGTAAAAGACTGCTTGTGTCCGGACGTGGCCGACTCCTACATCTGTCGCTGAGGTGCGTAGCTTTGTGGGCTTCGCATCGTACTATCGCCGGTTTGTCCGCGATTTTGCGACTATTGCGAAGCCACTACATGCACTCTCTGCCAAGGGACAGAAATTTCGCTGGGGGAAGGAGGCCGCTTTTGTGGCGCTTCGCACGGCCTTGGCAGATGCGCCGCCCTTGGGGTACCCGGATTTCTCCCGGCCGTTCCTCCTCGACACCAACGCCAGTGACACGGGCATTGGGGCCATCCTGGCTCAGGTTGTCGATGGGGTAGAACGGGAGGTGGCCTACGGCAACCGCGTTTTGTCCCCCACTGAGCAGCGGTACTGTGTGACCAGGAGGGAGCTGCTGGCCATTGTTTTCTTCGTCCAATTGTACAGGCCATATCTGTATGGTCGCCGGTTTACCGTCCGGACCGACCATGCAGCCCTGCAATATTCCCTCCGAATTGACCAGCCCTCGGTTCAGCTGTCACGCTGGCTCGAGGTTCTCCAGGGGTACCCCTTCGATGTCATCCACAGGAAGGGGACTCTGCATGGGAATGCGGACGGCTTTTCCAGGCGGCCCCCGGTGGGCGAGTGCGCCTGCGCCCTGGGTTCCAGCCGCTGTAAGGCCCCAGTGGATACCGTGGCCCAGTTGGTTGTATCGGCCTATGCGGCGCCCTCTCCGGGTGGGGCGTTGCCTGGGGATTTTGGTCTGGGACTCCCCCGGGAGGTATGGTCCCAGATGCAGATGGAGGATTCCTCTCTGCTGCGGCTGTGACGCCGGGTTGGGTCTAAGCCCCGGAGCTCGGCTCCGTCGGCTGGCCCGGTGGTCGCCATGCATGACGGACTCCTCGTGCGTTGGGATGCTCAATTGGAATTATATTGTGTGGTGGTGCCCATTGGCTTACGAGGTAAATTGACCCGAGCCATTCACGAGAAGCTTATGCACCTCGGCTACCACAAGACCCTCTTGACCCTTAAACGGGACTACTATTGCCCGGGCGTGGAGGATGATGTGGCACTGATTTTGAAGGGTTGCCATGACTGTGCGCGGAGGAAGGCCCCAGTGGGTCAGGATCGGGCCCCGCTGCAGTCCATCCGGGTTTCTTGTGTAAATGAGATCGTGGCACTTGATATTTTGGGACCATTCCCTACATCCCAACGGGGACACAAATACCTCTTGGTGGGGGTGGAATACCTCACACGTTGGCCCATGGCGTGGCCCCTGGTGGACCAATCGGCCTCGTCCATCACGGAGGCATTCGTTCAGGGGTATGTTCTCGATAAGGGGGCACCAGAACAGCTTTTAACTGATCAGGGGCGGAATTTTTGTTCCGTTTACTCAAGGAGGTCTGTGACCTCCTTGGGACGAAGAAAGTCCGCACCTCGCCCTACCATCCCCAGTCCGACGGGATGGTAGAACAATTGAACCGCACGCTCACGTCCATGTTGTGTCATCACGTGAGCTCGTCCCAATCGGACTGGGACCTGTTCATCCTGGGGGTGTTGGCCGCGTACAGACTGGCTCCTCATGCCTCGACGGGGTTCTCCCCCTTTTTCCTTATGTATGGGAGGGAGCCTGAGCCCCCGGTGCTCGTTCAATTGGACCTTGGCACAGTCAAGAAGGGGTCATCCATTCCCCTTCCGATGAAAATCGCGCTGGATCGGCTGTGCGAAGCGTGGCAGGCAGCTTTAGAAAATTCGGCCAGTCGGCAGGCGGCCACGGAGCGCTTGCCTAAACATCAAGCCTTTGGGTTGCCATGGAAAAAGGGCCAGTTGGCGTGGCTGCACTGCCCTCAGGTGCCGGTAG